TKYKCGYGTRTRYKMTRYKCTCATATTTCTTTGTARGCTTCTTGATCTTTGGCGGTTTTTCGTTCTTTCACAATTCATCTCTTCAACTGTTTATTTATATAGATTCTTTCTAACCAACTACGCGGCCTCCAAATAACTTTATCTACAGTTTGACATTATTTTTAACTCATGATATTTTTGAGTACCGCATTTTGTCGCTCTCACAGGGTGCGTGCTAACGTAGCCCAAACAAAGTCCAATCCCAATTAGTGTTCTCTAAAGTGATCTGTTGTCGAACATCGAATCTCATTTCAAGTATGGTACTGGATGTATAAGGACGGGAATGTCTTTAGTTTAGTACAGACATCATTGGTGAGTATAGCATGGATGACCTTTAGTTTTTTGTGTAAGCTATAGAAGCCTTTTCTTTCTTCTTCTTGGTCGAAAAKTACGTACTTAGTTTCAAAATAGTYTGTACGGATACGTTTCAGGGTCCGTGTTTCATCATCTTAACACGAGCACCGACACTGTGGCAGAATCCGACTTAAAGCAAAATGCGCAAGTTCTTTAAACCTTTTTTCCTCAGATTTAAAGCCCTTCTGCACCTCTCGTTGTTTCTAATTATACATCCAATTAAATGGGGAAGCTCTCTACCACGCCTATGTTCATAGTGATTTCAAGTGGAGCACCAGATGAAGCAAAGGAGGTCAAAACAGTATTTTTACTCGTCATTATGCTTCTAAACATACTTGGAAATGTTGGAGTTATGATTGTCGTGCTAAAGGATCGAGAGTTAAGAGTCATACCAAGAAATATCGCCTTTGCAAGCCTTTCTTTGACAGACTTGTTGATGGTTATAGTCATTATTCTCAAGATTTGGACCCTGTATTACCACACAAATGAAAACACTTGCAGTGCACTCGGGACTTTGTTTGCTGTATTCGTACATGTGAGCATTCTGCACCTATTCGCTCTGAGCGTGGACAGTTACATTGCTGTGTTTTATCCGCTAAGTTACTGTCAAATTGTCACTACAAAAAGAATTGGTTTAGTTTTAATGCTTATTTGGCTAATCTCCTTGGTAACTGTTGCCTTGCTACCATTGTTTATGAAAAAACAAAATGATCTTCGTATYCAAAGCTTGTTCTATGGTTGTGTTGAGTTCAAAGGGAATGAAATTGATCCTCAATACAGAACGTTTGTGTATGCRCATGCTTCATTCTTCTTTATTCTACCGCTGACTTGTATGATCGTGGTCTACCACAAGATAGCCAAGGTTTCTTGGTACCAGTCTAACCGAGTGGACGTTTTGGATAGAGGTAGTTTGCAATCTGGAAGATCGAGAAGCAGAGATATGAAGTGGGCAAAAACTATTGGTAAGAATAGAATATAAGTATATCAACACATAACATTAAGTGTTAATACTAGTCTGGTTCATAGTACGTGCTAAATTTGATACCTTTATCCTGACATATTGAAGAGCGGCGGCGATTATACTGATGAGATTGCTACCACACGAGGGTCCTTCACAGAGGCCAGAGTTTACAGTCAATATTTGGAGCCAAGCTTTGGTTWCGGAATTAATTGAATTTCCGTTTAATTACAATGGTGTCCACCCATTTTACATGTAAATTCTGGAATTCTGTAACCCCTTTTAGCTTTGAATGTTTTGACTTGCTATTAACGCCACTATCTTTTTAATCAAATCCGGTCATGTTTTCTCATGTACCAATAAAAAAAATTRGAGAAAAAAGACAGCAGTAGACGCTATAGCGGTCCTACATCCCCGCAAACGTGGGCGAGACTATCGATGATCAACAAAATGATTCAGAAATTCATCCAACACTTGTGAGAGCCTGTGCCAAAAACTCCGTAGCATAGTGCTTACCGACTTACGACTAGAGTAACCACAAAAAAAAGACATGTATTTTGATTTTTCGTACAGGTCTCGTGATTGGTGCTTTTACAGTTTGCTATCTGCCAATCATTGTCATGCTACTATATCACGCTTCTTTTGGACCAGAACATGGTTCTTCGTCTGCCATCCAATACCTTGCTTTCATGGATACGGTTGTCAACCCGATTGTCTACACTTTAAGAAACAGAGAGCAGCGAAARACTTTGTTYAAAATATTTAAGAGAAACAGCACTATCGCTGCAGAGAATGGACAGACTTTTGCCGAARCACAGCCTTCWCGTGCGGCTCCTGGCACGTCAAATRCCCAGAATAAGGATCGAACGAGATCATCTTTGATGGAATCATCTACAGCTTCATCATCGTTACCAATCCAGTTCACGACAATTTATGTCAAACCTGAAATGTTGGAAAAAGTTCTGCAGGATGCTATTGAGATCGCTTACTGTAAGGAGAAATAACGACACATCAGATGGAGCTAAATGATGTAGAAATCAGTATTAACGTTTATCAATCAATGAGGCCCTGGGGTAAAAAACTTAAAAGTTTGAACAAGAAGAGGATGCGACTGAGATCGCTTAGTGTCAGGAGAAATAACGACACATCAGATGTAGCTAAATGATGTAGAAATCAGTATTAACGTTTATCAATCAATAAGGCTCATTAATTCGTGGGGTAAAAAACTGAAAAGTTTGAAAAGAAGAGTATGCGATTGAGATCGCTTACTGTAAAGAGAAATAACGACACATCAGATGTAGCTAAATGATGTAGAAATCAGTATTAACGTTTATCAATCAATAAGGCTCATTAATTCGTGGGGTAAAAAACTGAAAAGTTTGAAAAGAAGAGTATGCGATTGAGATCGCTTACTGTAAAGAGAAATAACGACACATCAGATGTAGCTAAATGATGTAGAAATCAGACCGTTCGGTAAGGCAGTATAGATGTCATAGATGGGAATGGGAATATCATATGAATATATCGAGTAATTTGATGTTAATGTAATTCCATATAAGAGAATTAAAAAAAAAATAAGAAAATTCAGCATATCTAACTATTACAGATTATTAATAAAGACATATAATTTATATAAAAGCCGAGCTTTAGTGATATTTGCAGTTATGCTCGTGTTCTTCCAGGGCCTGTGTTGATAAAAAGCTTCGGTAAAATCGAATCAATCTTGWATCCATTCTCAAGCAACTTCTCCATTGAGATGAGGCAGTGTACGGAAGAGAGGAATGCGTGGAGTATGTCAACCTAAAACAATTGATAATTACTAATGAATATCGTAGAGTGTAAAGGCGGGAAACATTAGTAAATACAATTTTGTACTATTTCATGCTGATTCTTTTGATTTTTTTTTTGTTCAACTGGCATTATTTTGTACAATAAAGTAAATAGAGGATATTACATGGGCGCGCGTAGATACGGATTTTATCTTCGATAATCAACACGAGATTTTCAACACGAGAAGATAAAATTATATGATATATTATATGATAAACAGTGTTTCACGCTTTCACTGAAAATACTATATGATATTTTTCTTTCTTCTGTGGCGTACGCCGGACAACAGCGTGTATCTAAGAATAATAGCAACCATACCTCATTGCCATCTGCTCTTCTGTAATTTGACAGTTCTAGTACATTGTAAATCCCAAAACCTGAAATCGTGTTACATAAATTTCTTATTAATCTTTCATTTATTTTCACCCATTCATCCACTTCAATCCATTTCATTAATCTAACACCTGTAATGGCGTCTCTAAAACACAATCTAAAACAACTCGTCAGTAATTTTAGAGCATAAACAATCAAACTAACTCACATCTAACCAAAGCACAATTCCCAACAGATCATACAATTTGTGATACTCTTAACTAGTCTAAGTACTTTTACGACAGAAACTCATGTAAGAAAACAACAAACGGTAAACATGTACCTAGAATATTGTCCTCCAGAAGAAGACGGTGCAATATGAATGGAAATCGTTGGTCCTTTTTACAAAAAACAAAACAATGATTATGTTGTTGTCATTGCAATCTCTGTTGTTATAATCATTGCAATAGTCATTGTCTCTGTTCTTTTCGTTACAGTTGAACCTCTATCAATCGGCCAGTCCGAAGGAAAAACGGGTGACAGCTCAATAGAGGTTAACCGTTTCGATGGACTTAATTGACTTAATTTTTGCTATTTTCCCCTCTGTACAAATACATTAATCAAACCTTAGCCAACAAAGGTAGCTTTACAATCACACTGACTCGTAGTCCAGTACCAGTCTCCCTCGGGCTTGACGTCAGGTAGCCATAGTAATCATCAAAGGCAAACTCGTGCCCGTCCTCACTTAGTAAACGCTCCAGTTTCTCCAGAAAATCATAAAGTTTTCTGAAAGCACTAAAAACATCCGCTCCTTTTTTCTGAATGATAACTTTGATATGTTCAGSSTCGTTGACCACAATGACTGGACTTCCTACGCTTCCGCAGAGAAGACTGCGTCCCGTTGTCCAGGCAGGGTCTGYGGTGTCAACGTTTCGTGTGAAGATGCAATGTTTTTTCATTAGTTTAAGTCTTGCTTCTTGACTGTGGTCAGAAAGGCGGATGTAATACGAGGTTTGTGACTCTGGTAAAAAGGTGGAAAAGTAAATTAAATTGCTCCAATGACAATTACAGTATTTAGTCTACCTTTAAGCTTGGAGAACGCTGATTTGACAATTTCTTCCACTTTTCTCCTTTGACTTTCATTACATGACCATGAAAATGGAAATCTGCGCAGTGAACGCAGTACCCTCACTCTACAACACTCTATGTAACTTGTATCTAGATTCTCCAAATTTCTCAACTTTCCAACATCAAATTTCCTGGAATAGATATTTACACGAACAGTGCGTGGATTAATAAGATTAATGCTTGCAATTAGTGGTTTTAAAACCTTCTGATAGAGGTTATAAGCATGCGCATCTGCTGCCAAGAAGCCGATATTGTGAAGGTTTTTCTTRGAGTCGGCAAGTCCAGCTTGCAGGGCGTCGAACAGCGAAAATCCCAATTCGCTAACAGTGTCTTTGTACTCGTTGCAAATCTCTGGAGTTACAAAATAGGGCGCTAAAGTCTTTTCTTGTCTGTGCTTCTCGAGTAACTTTTCGAAATCCTTTTCTGTTGAATTCTCCTTTGCGTTTGTTGTTTGTTGTGATTCGCCATTGTGATCAAGTAAGTTGTTCAGCCATGGTAYTATCCATGATGCCATTGTGACCCTCACGACTTTTCGCAAACAACAAACTGCAAGATGAATGTTGAGGTCTGATTGTCTTTCAATCCATTATGTCGTCATGCATGTGACGTAATGAGCGCGCTGAGTTCCGCATTCGTATGTGGTCAGCAGGGACTATCTTTGTAAAAAATATTTCAAGATAATTATAAAAAACATTATTTCAATGAGGTTTTTTTTACTTTTTTTTGCCTTAATTCAAGAATCTATTGGATGAAGATTAAATGTATGTTCAAAACTACACGGATACGTCTGGGCTGGGTTTCATTTTCTTATTAGTCGAGCTAGCCATAGGCTAGGCCGACTTTAGTTTTACCTTTTTGTCAATCTATGTGTCATGTCGCGTTTGGGACACCGGAAGTTCAATCCGCAACCTTCCTGTYATGTGATATTCTTTCTAACCGGAAATCAGACAACTCCAACTGGGATCCCTGTGTCATTGCGTCACACATGACGTCATAACTTTATTGTATTAGCATACGTCATATAARTCTACCTCCGAGTCTGCGGCATATCATCGTATACTACTACTTTTTGCTTGACTTATATACTAATAAATTTGCTTGTTAAGAACCATGTGGGAGGACGTGTGCCTTATGTAACTGAATGAAACATAAGCGCATGCTCAGAGTACTAAATGTCCCATCCAATCACACATTTTTGCAGTTACCAGGGCAAAGGTAGCGCTGTCAAATATACCATAATAATCAGCCAATCACGTGCATACCTACCATACCAAGTAACCTGTCAACTAAAATTACCCATAATTTCCTGGTTCGATAGCACAGGAATACCAAGGTCACATGGTCAATCATATTATTCATAATGCTTTACTTTACTTGTCTCATGGTGCTGTGCTTGTGCTACAGTACGTTTGCTCGACGTTTCTTCCTTCTTCCTTGGAGAGTTTTTGCAATTAATATGTCAAAAAAGTACATGTACATACTGAGACGCTCAACGGCAGCTCAACCATCTTACAAACGCGGTAGACTCACACTAAAAGATGTCAATGAGCGTCAGTYTCGAAACGAGTCGTTCCGTGAACCCAAAGAATTCTTTGACAAGACGAAGGATCAGACCTCTACAATCAGCTCTAGACTCACAGTGATAAGTTTATTTGTTCTAATAGCTATACTTTACGTATCAATAAATAGTTTTGTCTATTATATTTCACCATTTACTGTGTTATTCATCGCAGTCTTGTTTTGTAAAATATGCTTCTTGACCTGAGAGGTCATTTTTTAATTAAAAACGTGAAACCTTACACCAAGATATCTGATTATCAAATGCATTGCGCCATTTCGTCTAGGGTTGCAATAGGAATTATAGCATATGTGTTTTAAGAGCATTTAAAGCATTTATTTTGAATTTATTTGAAAGAGTTGCATTTGGAGATTCCCCTAATTAGTATAAGCTGGTCCATGTACAAAAAACGGGATAAGTATAGGTTAATAGGATTCTTTCCTTTAAACATTGCATCAAAAATTGTTAAATTATAAAGTGTTGTTTATATGACCTTTTTAAATCTCACGAAATTTGCATATTTTGAATGAGCTACACGCTTTTACAGCGTGAAGTCGGGATAGCTATTTTTGAAAATTGAGAAAGACAGAATATCGACTCCTGGATCGATATTTCTAGTGTTTTGATGTCGTTGYGACAAGCCACCAGAAAAGAATATCGCGGTGCGTGAATAAACAAACAGGTATTCTACGTCATAAATTACTTTCATATATTTTCAATTCAATTTCATTCAATTTTCAATTTTCAATTATATGACTGCCAGAATATTACATGTTTTTTAGATACGAATTTTATCTTATCGTGTTGAACTCTTTCGCTCTTCACGCATTCGCAAATCCAAGTAATTTCTCAATTTTCCAAMATAGCTAGCCCGACTTCACGCTCCAAGAGCGTCTAGTTCATTGAAGTTCAAGTTTCTTGCAAAATATCGAGATTCATTTTACTATAATTCACTATTGAGGATAGGTTCTCGGAAAGATCTGAAATTMTTTGCAAAATTCAAACACCTTAGACATAACAATGATAATACTTCAAGTACATTTTGTTCAGAATGCGATGGAGCAACGAACGCTGACCTGATACGTAAGTATTTTTACTGTGTTTTRCATTTATTTATTCATGTTTTTCTCCATTAATACTTTTTCAGTAAAAAAATCTATAGATAACCAGTTCTTATCAATTTTTCGCTTGAAATGATCAATATTGCGCTTGGAGGCCTYAGACGTAATCAAGGCGGTTGCCGAGAATAATACATTACTGGTTGACTAGCCACCTGCAAACATTACCATGGCACATGGAGTAACTGTCGCCGAGTTAAAAGAGATTGCTTGCGAAGAAATCRACAAAAACGCTCAAGAATTGTACGATTTGAACCACAGAATATGGTCACATCCCGAATGTAACTACCACGAATCAGTTTGCCATGGAATTCTTACTGATTTCTTCAAAAAACACGGTTTTGACGTGACCCCGAATTGGACGTTAGAAACCGCTTTCGGAGCGAAATCGGGAGGAACTGAAGGTCCSTGTGTTGCTATTATGTGCGAGTACGATGCTTTACCWGTTGTAGGACATGCTTGTGGGCATAATTTGATCGCTGAGGCTGGTGCTGGCGCTTCTTTGGGTAAGCAGTACTTGAAAAAAATGTGTGCATTTTGAAACAGAAGTTTCAGCRAATCACGGTCCGTGATGACGGTCCATCATATAGAAAAACACTGAAACAGCTCTCGTCAGGTTGCGGATAATGTCTCGATCATTTTGCCGATCTATGGTACTATAAATGCCTTTACCAAGAAAACGTTTTTAGACCACGATCACATTCATTCTAAAGCTAACGACATGGTTTTTGCGGTTTGTTTTGAGCTCGAAGCCTTAAGAAAAAGGGATTATAAAATTAAAAATTCAATTTGGCCCTTGAAGATAACCTTTAAGATGAGAAAAACACGGCAGTTTATCGAGAAAACGATTTGTAAATATGAGGCAACTTTAATAGAAATATGAAATTTCGTTGATCGTGTGGTTGATTAATGATTAATGGCAATGCAGAAGATTTCTGGACGGTCTTTCTATACTATCATGTGACCGTCAAATCATGAAGTTGGTCACGTGTGTGATAAATCGAAGAAGTAAACCACATTTAACAAATATAGAAAAAGAACTTGTACTTTTTTCTATYAATATAATTGGTTGAGATCCTTTTCCATTACTGCCAAAACATTTGGTTAAGTCATCTTTTTCTGTTTTGAGAGGGTTTCCCATACACGGTTTGATTAAAGGAGRATTTTYCAGTTTTTCACAATTTTCTATCTTCTATTTTTTCCTGGACACTTTTACCGCAGTAATTGTAACATATTACTTTYATTATCCCACAAGGTATCAAGGCTGCACTTGAGAAAACTGGTAACAAGCTTGGACAACTAAATGTAATTGGTTCGCCAGCAGAGGAGGGGGGTGGTGGTAAGGTCAAAATGATCGAAAATGGCTGTTTTAAAAATGTGGACATTTGTATGATGGTTCATCCATGCCCGTACGACGGCGTGTACTTTAGATTTCTCGATTTAAAGCARGTAACAGTTACRTATAATGGCGTTTCTGCTCATGCAGCTGCATTTCCCTGGCAAGGTATCAATGCGCTAGATGCAGCGGTTATGGCATACAGTAACATCAATGCAATGCGTCAGCAAATGAAGCCTACTTGGAGAGTACATGGAATCATTCTAGACGGAGGAGAGAAAGCTAGCGTTATACCTGGTAAAACCAAGATGGAGTACTTTATAAGAACTCCYAATAAGGAAGACRTGAAAGAGCTTGAGGCAAAGGTTGTCGGGTGTTTTGAAGCCGCAGCTAAAGCGACAGGTAAATGGTTTCCCATTTTTTCTCCTATTCAATATTCAGTTATACATTCAGTCTATTCTTTCATTTCCATTTATTTACTACCATTAATTATTCATATATTAATTCATCTATCCGTCATCATTTTCCTCCTCATGTTTATCATAGTTCGTATGATTAATGATTTATGCAGCATTACGCAAAGATTAGAAAGTACGTTACAGKCGAAGAATCAGACTCGAGTGTCGGTTGGAAACTCCGATCATTCCATTCGATCCCATATCAACTATATATATCAAATATTGTAAACAGTAATTGAAATGGGTGTACATGCTATTTTGTATTTTCAAAGGCTGCACAGTCCAGATGGAGTGGAATGAAACTGGACATTACAGAGACATGAAAGTCAACCCAACACTTGCGCGACTCTACCGACAGAATGCCAGGACGTTTGGTGTGGAGTTCATGCCTGGATTAGAAGAGGCTCACATTTCGCTGGGATCTACCGATATGGGTAATGTATCCCATACTGTCCCATCAATCCATCCGATGTTTAGCATTGGAACAACAGCACCTAACCACTCGCCCGAGTTCACGRCCGCGGCAGGAACGCAGCTTGCACACGAGAAGACCATTATCGCTGCAAAAGCTTTAGCTTTGACGGCAATAGATGCTCTGAACGATCCTCAGTTATTAGAGAAAATTAAGAGACAGTTTAAAGATCCCAAGTCCAAATAGTGTACAGTGACAATGAAATCCAGTTGAACTACAGTKAAATATAGTTGAAATGATCATCATCAATAAAATATATTTAACTATTAAATATCCTGCGTTAATGAGGATAGTTCTCAAGGGAGTTCTCAAATAATAATCTAATTTTCYTCTTTAACTGTTCGATTCCATGRCCGYACAAAGCTGATACAGGTATAACAGGTAACCCAATCTGTTCCTTGATGTTTTCAAGTGTCGTTTTATCTTCAACGCTGTCAATTTTGTTTGCTACTATTGCAGCAGGTCTTTCTGAAAGTCCTTCTTTGTAAAGTTCAAGTTCTCTTTCAAGTGCAGTGAATTGTTGTTGTGSACTCAATTGTGAGATGTCCAGAACGTAAAGAAGACAGCGRCAGCGTTCAATGTGTCGTAGGAAGGAATGCCCAAGACCTTTATTTTGATGTGCCCCAGTTATAAGCCCAGGGATATCCGCCACTGAAAATAAATTGAAAAACAATAATTGAAGGTTTTTTGTTGTATTCTTGATCGGTGAAAGAAAGAAATAAAAGAYACGAACTGGGATAGAAAAGAATGGAAACCCATAAAGGAAAAGGAGAAGAACTAATAAAAAAGAAAGTTAAGTAAAAAAACGAAATGAAACTGAATAAATAAGAAAAACAACAATAACATACATTATAAAATTTTTGATATATAACGCGCGCTCTGATTGGCTGACGACCGTGTTTATATCAGAGGACAGAGACACGGCTTACCGGCAAAATTTTCTTTTCGCTCGAAAAATTGTATAAAAGAAATATAAAACGGCCGCTTGTGTCTCTGTCCTCTGATATAAACACGGTGGGAGTTGAAAAATACTCGAGAAGCAAGAGAAACACTCGCTACGCTCGTGTTCCTAAGCTTGCTTCTCTCGTGTTTTTCGAACTCCCACCGTGTTTATATCAGAGGACAGAGACACGCGCGCCGTTTTATATTTCTTAAATAAAAGAGTAGAGTCTTCTACCTGCTATCTGACTGTGGTCATCATATTCAACCATCCCTACAAAAGGGTTCAGGGTTGTAAAGGGGTACGCAGCAACAGCAGGCTTCGCTTGGGAGATGGATCGTAGGAGAGTAGACTTACCAGCATTTGGGAAACCAACCTGAAAGAATCAAGCAAAATAAATCAGTATAGTTGAAAATAAGTGATGCCTCTTAATAAGTAATCCTCCATTAGACAGTCACAATGAAACTCCTGAATCTCTATGAAAATATCCATTGATGAAAAAGTTACCAATGAAAAAAAAGTATTCCTTACCAATCCAATATCAGCAATTGTTTTCAACTCAAGTTCCAATACTTTTTCCTCACCAGGGGTACCCATAGTAAATGTCTCTGGAGTCTGATTGGTGGCTGATTTAAAATGTGCATTACCCAGTCCTCCCCTTCCTCCTTGAGCAACAACAACCTTCTGACCATCTCTGGAAATATCAGCTATGATTTGTTTATGATGTGTTGCTATGGTTCCCAGGGGTACCTAAACATTCAAGTAATAATATTGTTAATTATTCAGTGCTTGTTGTGTTGGAATTACAGCTTGGAGCCCTGCCTAATGGACACCATTTAAGAATAGCCACTATGTTATAACAGCCAGATTTTTATGTCTTGGCAAATGAAAAGTTAATATGGCAACCTTTTTATGCCCATTCAGTTGCCATACTAACAGGGTTAGGGTCTCATCTATATTAGGTTCACTATACCTTGATCAAAAGGTCCAGACCATTCCTCCCATGACATTCATTCTTTTTCCCTGTTTCTCCATTTTCCGCTTTGATATGCTTGCGTACATGTGCTAGCTCCTTGAAGGAGCCATCAGCTATTAACATAACACTCCCTCCATGGCCGCCATCACCTCCATCAGGACCTGCTCTGGGTTGTCTCCTAGAGTCAATAGTTGAAGATTAGTCTTGTTTGGCCTTCCTGTGCCTTGAAGAAGACATAGGAAGTCTACAATAGTCTCCTTCAAAGTTACYTGCGCCATCTTGAAAGGTAGCCGCGCCTTTACATCGAAGCGAGACAACCGTTGAGCGTGCAATGATAGATACTTAAGTGAATAATTGTCTGTAGGTGTGAAAGAAGGTTTCTATCATTGCATGCTCATCGGTCGTCTCGCTTCGATGCAAAGGCATGGCTACCTTTCAAGATGGCGCAGGTAATCGTCAAGAAGACTATTGATTGAATTTTATATCTTGGAAATTAATGATTGATTATAAAATGATGTATGAACTGAGGTGAMGATATGAGTAAGAAAGAAATGCACATATGGTTGATTTATGGAAGAGTAGGAAAGTGAACTTTCAAAACATAATATAATAATAACAAAATGTAAAAGCAATTCATCTTGTGTCTTTTAGTTGGGCTTGGTACGTAAGAGACAACAATTTCTTGTCCCCAGTTCTTCCCCAGCCATTAAATATAAAGGAATCCCAAACACAGGAATTGATGATATCTTACTTTTTTCTTTTTAAATGACAATTACCATCACCACCATCTCCTGCTTTCACTACAATCTTTTTCCAATCAATGAACTGTCTCTCCTACAAGAATAATGGTTGTTAATCTTGTATGCTGGGTTTCCTGCTTCAATGGTAGATGAGGGAGAATGGTAAATAACAGCGTCATAACTGTATTAGCTAGCTAAAAGCAAAACACTTGATTCCTTTTCTCTCTTATGAATCTTTATTAATGGTTTCAAATTGCAAACAGCTCTTTGATGACTGCAAATTATAATAAGACAAAGATTCAGTCTGTTTTAGAATATAGTTCTCCAGAAAAACATGACTATGAGTGGAATAAAAAAAACGCATGAAATCAGTCTTAAAATAAAGCAAGTTCTGCTATCATACCTTGTATCTTGAACAGAAGCACCTGATCAACGTATGAGTCAAAGARCTTGTCTGGATGATCTTCATTTCTGATGACACTGATGATCACATGCTTCTACATATGATGTTGATGACATCAAATATAACATTTCCAATTCAGGACTTATATTTTATGTTGACTTGCTTATTGTTGATTTGCTTTGGTACATCAATCAAGGATTGTGTTTAGTTGACATTTTTCACGGATATATAATTAGAAAAAGTGTTTCCTAATTAGGGAGCGTGGCTACCAAGCCATTAGCCGCTGACCAGAGCCCGCGATGCGACGTTGTTTACAGACGGAGGAGATGGAAAAGATGGCGGATAGTTCCACGTGGTGTCTTGGTGCATAACAACTCCTTAAATCGATTTAACCAACAAAGGAAGATTCCTTCTTGGCCCTCAAATGGCCACTTCTAGCAGACCAAGGCGAAATGTCAATCGCCGCTCTATGGTAAGTGCCGTGACACAAAGGTAACTCGTTGTCAATCTGATCTTGCTTTTTAGGTTGACATGTTAGACCCTCAATATTTTGTGATTTAGAAAAGCTTTCTTGTCAGTCATACAAATCTATAATCTTTTATTGATCTTTGTTTATTTTTTAGGATGTGATAGA